CAACAATGCACTCAAAATACTTCAGATCTTACTAAAAAAGTAAACAGCCAGAAAAGTAGTACTAGAAACAGTGAAAAAATAATAATAAAATAAAAAAAATGGAATCTTTTCCTGCTAATTTGCATTGAAATGTTATCCCTACTCGAGAAAACTAAGGCAACCACAATGCTTTTTTTCCACACTGAACAAAATTGGTTAAAATAAAAGGTAAAAAAAAAACTCCACCCTATGTTATGAGAAGTTATGGATCCAAAAAAATGTTAGATCCATCTTTTTTTGGATCCAAAAAAATTGCTTTTTTTCACATCTTTGAATTTTTCTTTTTCTTTCAAAGCATGTGCATGTTTGCACACATGCTTGTTTGTGTCTGTGTTAACTGAAGCACATGTTTCTCCTATAACTAAAATCGCCCACATGCACTACATAATAATCAACAGGGATGTTCCATATACAAGTCAACATCACCTTGCAATCTGGAGCAGCATGTTGCTCTAAAGCAGAAGCTTGAGCCTTGTAAATTGATACATTTTTTGACATCACATCCTTTCTCTCCATACCTTCCTTCCTTGGGAATCCGCCAACCATTACCGCAATGTTGACACCTTTACAAGCTTCAACAACATCAGTGGTGGCAACAACACCTGTTGAACCATACAGAACATGCTATTATCAAAGCATCAGTAGCAAGAGACAATACAAATCTATTTAGAATTCACACCTTCGAGAAGAGGAAACGCGGCATCAATCAATTCCATCTTTACGCCTTTCAAGGCCTCGGCTGCAGGTTCAATATCAAGCATGTGTAGAATTACAGGTTGATCAGGACCTAGCATGGCCCCTCTAGCGATCATTGGAACAAGAGCATAGCCTATTTGCCCTGTGGAAAAAGTTCACATCAACCGTGAAAAGAAGCACCTATAGTTTGAAGCTATTGAGGAAAAATATTGAATGGCAACATGATACTGACCCCAGTAAAAAAGCATGAAATAGATTGCAGATTTTTCGAAGCTGGACACGTATAATTGAGTCACATCTATAGTTCTTAAATTAATATCCTTTCATCCTGTCTGTCAAATTCTCACGAATTTACCAATTTGATGTTATCACCCTAGAAACTTGTACAAATTTCATGATAGTTAGAAACAATGGTACTATTACAATGATCATTCATATGTTTCGTCTCTACTGTTTTGTCAGCAAGCTTTAGCCATGCAAAGACCATGTAGAATAAGGAAAACTTAAAGGCTAGCAAGACAAATAATGGCTCTTAAATGCGTAATAGGGTTGGAAAACCAAATCGGGAAATCATGACCAATTTTTCAATTTCCGAGTTCCATAGGATCCCTGGATCATACAGATTGCAGAGTATAATTTCATATTTAATATTGATCCCTATATATATAAAGTACAACAGGATTTATCTAGAAAGGGAAACATGATAAATCATCTAAAAGTGTATAGGTTTTTTTTTTTTTTGGGAGGGGGAGGGAGACTATTGTGACCAAAGGCCCGTTGGTCATCAATCAAAATTGAGGTAAATTAACTGTTTAATTGACTAGAATATTTGTACACTACCATAGTTAATAAAACACAAGCACAATGTGCCATAGAATTTAGGGGATGGGGCTAGGGTTTATTCTAGCATATAACAAATAAAAAGTAACAATAACAGACACAAAATTGATCATATTAGAAATAATCTAAGAACAAGAGGAAGAATATAATGAACATGCCTGCAGCACCAGTAACGAGTACTTTAATAGGCTGCTTCTCTATATTCGAGAAGCTCCATATGTATCTAATGATTTTCCATGACAAATATAAACAACCCAAAACAACAACAATCTTCTCAACCAATACCCAATTCTCCATTTCACACAATCAACCAAAATCTTGTACCATTCTGCTAGAAAAGCAGAGATCATTTATATAACCATAATTCAGCAATAAACAACTCACACGGAGAATCCACACAAACACTTCATAACAAGGCAATCAAATACCAATACAAAACCCATAACCCAATGCAAGAGCATAACATATCTTCATTCCAAAGAAAAGAACCTGATCTCTATCCATGAATGTGTTTTTAGATGCATGGCATAAATGCAAACAAATAACAGATAGATTACCCGCGGCACCAGTGACGAGGACCCTGATGGATTTTTTCGCCATAGATTCCGGGATGAAAATGGAAGAGAATAAAGATTACAGTCTCTGTATAATAGGTAAAAAAAAAAGTGATGGTTAGAAGTGGGAGGGTGGATGGTGGAATATATAAGAGAGAGAAAGAGAGAGAGAGAAGGGTGCGAAGTTCGAGGGGTGATGATATTCGAGGAACGTATAGAGATAAGAGTGACGATGGAGCAACAGCTTTTGGTGTGTGCAATCCATGGAAGTTGCTTTTCATGGGATTTCCCATGTTGTTTCATATATGGAGAACTGTCTATGTTGCTCAAAAACAGTTTTATGACATTAAGAAAAAGTTAAGGTATGCATGGTAATTAGCCTACTTATAAAAATTTATAATTAGCTGAAATTTGGCCTACCAGTGTTGCCCAATAAAAGTATATTGAATAATTCGAATCGAATGCAAATTAGTCTTCATAAATCCTTCCGTGTATGAAAGAAAAATTGAATTTTTTAATAGTTACATCATATGAATTGGCAAATTTTTTATTTGACACGAAACCTATCGCATATTGTAGTCCCACAATTTCTCTCTTGTTAAGTAAATCAAATTTGTGGATAAAATTTTGACAAATTTCTTCTTACTAAAACTAGATTTTCTCGCATTATTCGCGTGCAAATGAGCCATCGTAGACTCCAATTTGAATAATTGGATTTTTGTGAATTAGACGGGATCGAAATGCATTTTATGAATTGATCAACCTTCCCTTGACACATAATATCCAACGCCATGTAATTCATATTATCTTTCATGTGTTTTATCTCACAATGTAGATAAAATTGGTCAACAAAAATTGGTAAATGTTCAATAGTGGAAACAGGTACACCTTTTTGTGCAATCTTGTTGGTCATCTTGTTTTTAATTACTTAGGTGAAATTGAAAAGTTAAAATCACAAATCACAGTTGTGATCAATAATTGAATTGATGTGATTTTAGAAATTCGTACACAACTCAAACTGCAAATAAAATAACCTCAAAATCAACACCAACAAAGTAAAAGATCACAAACATCACACTTGAAAATCAAATCAAACTCATCACAATTGAAAAATATTGCATGCAACTATTGTGGAAACAAATAAATAGAGAAGCTCAAGGGTGCTCGAGTTCTGCCAAAAATGAGCGTGTAGTTAGGAAAGGGTAAACGAGTGCTTGTATATATCAAATTATTCATCTTATATGATCTGGTATAACTAGTGAAGTTAATAGTAATAGGCTTAAAGGTGATAAATGGCCGTATTAGTTACAAGGAAAATAGATATAAACATTGCTCTGCATGTATTATTATATATCTCTATATATATATACATACAAATAATTAAACAAATAAAATATATTTTGAAATTATGTTTATGCATAAGTAATGCCATAAACACCCTTAACGATTGGTTCATTTTGTAAAATTTAAGGGTGAAATTGATAAATTTGAAACTTTAAAGGCTACAAAGTGCCAATCAGTGATCAATATTAGGGGTATTAATGTAATTTAAGTTTTTTTTTTCCCGATTGTGCGAATCTTCCCGTTATAATTTTTCAATAAATGACCGATTACGCGAATTTTGCCGTTAGTTTCCTAATATCACGAGGGGGGACTGTGTGTGTGTGAATTGCCCTAGTTTTGCTGGAGAGATTTCGGAAGAAATCGCCTTCTCAGAGAGAGAGAGAGAGATGCGAAGCTTCAAGTCAACACTCTTGCTGAGGCGTTGTACTCGCAATTCTGGCTTCATCTCTCAACAAAGATGCCTCAGTTCTCAATTCGACCATGCCCTCGTTGATGATTCTGAGAATATAGTAAGTTAGAACTTACCTTTTTTTTTCTTCTTCTTTTGCACAATCTGGTATAAGCTCAATCAACACAAACACTATCTACATTGTTTCAGGTACTAGTTGAAGGCAAAGCCAGTTCTAGAACTGCAATTCTCAGCAGACCCTCTTCTCTCAATGCTCTCAACACTTCAATGGTCTGTTTCTTGGACCCTATGCTTCTCTTTTTTATCCTATTGCATGCGTATTTATTATGTATTCTCATATGGAGTGAAATTTTGAAAGTGTTTGGTAAACTCCTATTTAAGTGTAACTAAGTGTTTATTTTGATTTCAGACTCAGGTTGAGTCCAATTGAAAAGTTAATCATCAGTGTTAGTGCAGTTCTGATGTTTCATGGATTGCGTCAGATATAATCGTGTCTATAAAGATGTATATAATATTTTGTGGGTGAAAGTCTATTGTAGATATTTGGTTGGCACTTGGCAGCCATTGCCAATAGAGTACAATAAAAAGAAAGTGTTTACTTTGCTGTCAGTCTCAAAATGTGTTAATTGTTGTTTTAGTAGTTGGATCATTGTGGTTCCGTTGTTTAGTTGATGGCAATCATATGTACACGTTCATGTGCTGATTATTTGTGGTCTATAGGGGGATAGGTTAACCAAGCTGTATAAAAGTTGGGAAGATAACCCTGATATTGGTTTTGTGGTGTTGAAGGTAATTTTTGTGTGGTGATTTCAATTTTTGTGTTCGCAAATTTCCTTGTTTTTTTTTTCCACTGGGTTTTTTTATGTCTCATATATTTTGATTGCTCAAGTTATAAAGCAACTCAGACAGTTTTGAACTTTTTGAAGGGCAGTGGCAGGGCGTTCTGTGCTGGTGGTGATATTGTTGCTCTCTATCATTTGATAGATGAAGGTATAACTTGGCACAAATTTTTCGTTAGGACTGCATGGGAAATTTATCCACTTTCCACAATTGATGCTTTAACATGTGTTCAATACGGAATAAAGTTATCCAAGTTAATAGTAAGAAATTCGCTTTAGACAATTTGTTTTAGGGAGATGAAATAGGATTATGAGTTGACAGGTAGAGTCTAGTCGATGGAATTAAATGTAATGCCGGGGATTCTAAAGTTTTCAAGGGATAGAAGGTTTAGAAAAAAACATATTGAACATATGGTTGAAAAAGTAAGAATAGAAAATAGGGAACAATAAAAGAACGAGTATAAGATGCCAAAAGTGACTGCTTTTGCCATTTTGGATCAACCATTCTTGAGGGAGAGATATCACCTGATCTTTCTATAAATTTTCTATGGAATGGAGGAAATTTATTTTAGTCGAAATGAACATAATGAAAATAGCGGTGGTGCATGAAAGAATAAATTGGAGATAAACTTTCGTTTCCATTTTATTTTTCCTTGAAAAGCCACATGTAATGCAATTTTGTAGAAAGGATNACTGCAATTCTCAGCAGACCCTCTTCTCTCAATGCTCTCAACACTTCAATGGTCTGTTTCTTGGACCCTATGCTTCTCTTTTTTATCCTATTGCATGCGTATTTATTATGTATTCTCATATGGAGTGAAATTTTGAAAGTGTTTGGTAAACTCCTATTTAAGTGTAACTAAGTGTTTATTTTGATTTCAGACTCAGGTTGAGTCCAATTGAAAAGTTAATCATCAGTGTTAGTGCAGTTCTGATGTTTCATGGATTGCGTCAGATATAATCGTGTCTATAAAGATGTATATAATATTTTGTGGGTGAAAGTCTATTGTAGATATTTGGTTGGCACTTGGCAGCCATTGCCAATAGAGTACAATAAAAAGAAAGTGTTTACTTTGCTGTCAGTCTCAAAATGTGTTAATTGTTGTTTTAGTAGTTGGATCATTGTGGTTCCGTTGTTTAGTTGATGGCAATCATATGTACACGTTCATGTGCTGATTATTTGTGGTCTATAGGGGGATAGGTTAACCAAGCTGTATAAAAGTTGGGAAGATAACCCTGATATTGGTTTTGTGGTGTTGAAGGTAATTTTTGTGTGGTGATTTCAATTTTTGTGTTCGCAAATTTCCTTGTTTTTTTTTTCCACTGGGTTTTTTTATGTCTCATATATTTTGATTGCTCAAGTTATAAAGCAACTCAGACAGTTTTGAACTTTTTGAAGGGCAGTGGCAGGGCGTTCTGTGCTGGTGGTGATATTGTTGCTCTCTATCATTTGATAGATGAAGGTATAACTTGGCACAAATTTTTCGTTAGGACTGCATGGGAAATTTATCCACTTTCCACAATTGATGCTTTAACATGTGTTCAATACGGAATAAAGTTATCCAAGTTAATAGTAAGAAATTCGCTTTAGACAATTTGTTTTAGGGAGATGAAATAGGATTATGAGTTGACAGGTAGAGTCTAGTCGATGGAATTAAATGTAATGCCGGGGATTCTAAAGTTTTCAAGGGATAGAAGGTTTAGAAAAAAACATATTGAACATATGGTTGAAAAAGTAAGAATAGAAAATAGGGAACAATAAAAGAACGAGTATAAGATGCCAAAAGTGACTGCTTTTGCCATTTTGGATCAACCATTCTTGAGGGAGAGATATCACCTGATCTTTCTATAAATTTTCTATGGAATGGAGGAAATTTATTTTAGTCGAAATGAACATAATGAAAATAGCGGTGGTGCATGAAAGAATAAATTGGAGATAAACTTTCGTTTCCATTTTATTTTTCCTTGAAAAGCCACATGTAATGCAATTTTGTAGAAAGGATGACAAAATATATCATATTTTTTTTTCTTGTTTCCTATATAAAAAAAAAAAAAAAAGAGGCAAAATAAGTATAAAGATGGTTTGGTCATGTATACATAAAACTAATAACTGCAAACATGAGGATTTGTTTGATTCAAGTTTGATATGGAATGAGAATAAAGGGAGGTCAACAATGCAGGTTGAGCTGATGCGAAGCGCACAATGACCTTCAATGTAATGGTAGATGTGGCCCTAAATGGAGTTATACGTTGTCTACATCGACAACATAAGATTGAGGGATTATTGTTCTACTTTTTTTGCCCTTTCGGGTTCGTCTATTTTTGGGTTTGACCATAAATTTTAATGTGCGATCTTCTTTTATTTTTAAAATTTTAAGTTAGTTTTGATTTAGTGTAAATAAAGGTAATTTAAATTACCACCCGTTGGTTTATCCGACTATTACATACACAGGGACCTCTCCTTTTGATTTCAAGAATTTCACCTCTACTAGCATTGTCCATCCCTGTTTCAATCTAGAATAGCTGTTACCTTGGTAAATTGTATATATAGGTGGAGAGAGAAGTGTAATTTTTTAAGCTTCTTGCGATGAATCTGCATATTTGATTACTATTATTAGTAATGAACTAGGAAAGTCTGGTGAAAGCTATTATTGTCAACAAAACTAGAAGTGAGGTCCATTCAACTTTTGTCATAAAGCCACCGTCACAACAAATATAAAATACTACCTTGTGTGGATTGTTCTGGTTTAGCAAATACTAGTATGAGTTTTGGCCTTGAGATTAGGGATCGTCAGTAGAGATAGAACACATCACAATTTCCTGCGTTTTGCTCTCTAATTTAGCTTAATTATCGTGTTTGGTTAGATACTATTGCCATATTGTTTATGGATTTTGTGTGTTTTGGAATTCAATTATTGTGTAACATTGTTTAGTTTGTCGATGTTGTCTTTTTTTGAATATAAAAAATTTATGTTGAAGTATATACTTAAATTACACCCTTTTTGACGTTTGAAACTTTTGGAGTAGATGATTATTTAACATAGTATCAGAGGAAGATGTCCTTTCCTGTGTTCGAATCTAGCCACCAATCTAGCTATTAAAAGATTTTTACATGTTAGGCCCAAATTTTAGCAGCACATGATGGGTGTGTTGAAGTATAAATATTTAAGTTATACCCTGTCTATCAGTTTAAGCTTTTGGAGTAGATTGTTGTTTACCAATTAACTTTATGAAAAATCTTTGATATCCAATGTTTGTGGGGTTCCGACTGTTGCTGATAAGCTGTCTAGTCACATATCTGGTGTTTCCGTCGTACCTTTGTTCATTTTACATTTGAAGCTGTTATGCTGGTCACATGATTTTGTGTTTGTGTGCTAACTCTCTATGTCTGTGCTCTTAGTATGTAGCTGATGTGATACTTTTACATCTTACCTAAGCATTACATGCTTTTTTCTACTTGATTTTGTCCACTAATTCTAATTCATATATGTTGACTGAAAATTGTTAGATGTTTTCTTTTACTTGACAAAGTTGTCATGATTTTTTATTATTATTAGATTTTATTATGATAATCCTAGAACCTTTGCTCATTCTCTGTAGGGAACCTTGAAGATTGTAAAGAATTTTTCCGGACGTTGTACAGTTTCATATACCTTTTAGGTACATATTTGAAGCCACATGTGAGTATTCATTATTTTGAGGTATTGAGGGTTAAAATATGCAGTTGACTGTGAAGTGTGCATTTTTATACAACTCATATTTGCTGATTCAATATGAGCATATGAGTTGATGTCCTATGGTTGTTGTAATGGGTTGATAAGTGATTGAAATCTTTCACTATGGTTGTGGGTCATTCTTCCATAGAAGTATTTTAGTGATCAAAACATGAATAGTGCACTACGAAAAATGTTTAAAATAAATGTTGAGATGTAGTAAGTTTGATAACTCACAAAAAAAACTGAAAGAGAGAGAAAGAAGCATGTCACTAAACTAACGATTGGAATTGTTATTAGGATGGTTTCACCTGTTGTGTCTTATCTAAGAAAGTGGGATAAGATGGTTGCCATATGACCATGCTAGAGTAATTGCTTTAACCTCTGAAATGTCTCCTACAGCAGTACTTGAAAGTATTTAACATTTTGCATCGAAGCAGATTGTTCAAACATTTATATGCATCATATGACTACTTTGCTGGATCCTAGTGGATGATGCCTAAGGGTGACCTCTGATCTCTTGAGCTGATCGTTGGCTAAGTTTTCCCACCAATTGACTAAGGGGAGCTCCTTTAAAAGCAAGTCGAAGACCAGAAGGGCTCTGAAGGTCGACCCTCTGATGCTTTAAGTCAGAAAGGGAATGAGAAAAGTAGAATATTAGGGTGAGCTTGGATTGCTTATTTGTTTGATTTCCAATCCTCTATTTTATAGGCAATCATGTCACCGTTGGAGGATGTTTATCTCCTTATTTGAATTGGGGTAAATCCTAGATTATCAGTGGCGGGGTGGGAGTGGACTCCTTTTTCAAGTGCGAGTATTAGGCTAAGTTGAATTGGTCAAATGCAGAGAGTTGGCGAGTTGGCACTCCATCGAGTTGTCAAGCTATCGAGCTCCTTAATCATGCTTAAATTCCCATCATCTATTGCCTCTCATTTTAGCTCAGTGTGACTCACACGTGCCCCCTCATTTAATGCAGTTTTCTTTTAGTGCTTGGGGAAGTTCTTCTTCCTCTGCACTTGTTTGTGTGTCAACCACGGTGTCACTAAAAAGTGAATTTTTTTTCATAAAGTGGTCCCAAGTCCTTTTTCATAATTTGTTTGTTGTTGAAATTACTACTGTGGCTAGTTGCCCTTGCATGCATGGGCCTTCTTTTGATGGTTGTTGCATGCATAGCAGTCACTGGGACTTGTGTGTTTTTGTCCTCGTGAAATTCTGAGTTGGGTCCCTGCGTCATGTGCAAATGATGGCGTCGAAGACTTCCCTCCTTCAGTTGTGTCGACTCTTGGAAGACCGAACCACTCTCATTTGTCGCGGGGCCTTGAAGATAGTTCACTATGATAATAATAATAATTTTTCTTTTGGTTCAAAATCTCGTTAATGTGACTGTCAAATATTACTCATAATTAACAATAGAGTGGAACATAAACTTTATCCTCTAATTAAAAAAAAGAAAAAGAAAAATAAATGGGATAAATTTCATGCTTTTTCTTTATAATTTTACCTAACATAAGAAAGATGTGGGGCCCACATGTTCTCACATATTTAAAGAATTCCATTAAGCTTTTC